TCATTCCTCGGGCATGTAGCGTTGGAGGAGGAGCTCGAGCTGGGACGTAAAGTCGCCGATCATCTCACGCAGCGACATCATGGCGGCGTCGGTGATGTTGCCGATGCGGTAGTAGGGCGAGTTGACGTCCGAGAACTTGGGGTGCGTCAGAAGCACCTCCGACTGCACCATGGGCAGCGTCATTTTTTGAAAAAACTTGATCCGGCACCCGGGCTGGCCCGCAATGGGCTCAAGCAGAAACCTAATGTGCACCTGAGACGCACGCACTTCCACTCGTATGTACCATGCGCTCTTGTTGGTCACGAGTGCTTCGGGTGCGTGCGGACTGAGTTCGTCTTCGAGAATGGTGCTAATAGCCATGTATGTGGTTAGGTCCTCGATCATGCAAGAGAAGCGCTGCCAACCGCATGACAAACACGATGCGGTCCGTCTCGACGTAGCGCTTCATGAGGAGGCGCGTCTGGTTGATCAGGAATTCCCACCGGCCTTCGTTCGCAATGTAGATCGTGTCTTCGTCAAACGTCTCGAGGCGCTACATCCAAGTTAGCATGCGCCAAAGGACCAAGTCTATATACGTGGAACGTTGTGCGGTTGAGACTGCAGCCGGCCGAGAGGAGGAGCCACATCATGCGGGCGACCGTGTGCATGTCGTACTCGATCGTCTTGCACAGCGTCGCGGTCGTGATGAGCTGGTCGTCAAAGTGCTTGGCCAAGTACGGCGCAAAGGCCGTGACATCGTCTTCTTGCTCGAGGAGATTCGACTCGATGAGCGCACCCGACAGCGCTTCGTACTGGTGCTCGAGGATGTTGGCGACGGCCTCGCGCCGGAGGGTCGGGTCTTGCACGAGGCGGTACAGCTTCCACTGGTCGGCGTCGAGCTGCGGCAGCGCCGCGAGCTTTGGCCGCTTCTTGAGAAGCGATTCGAGCGTCTTGCCGAATTCGATTTGCTCGGCGAGCTCGCGCTTGAGCTGCTCGCGCTCGCTGATCGCAGCGTCTTTCTCGACGCGCATCTGCCGGGCCATGGTTTGCCATGGCGACGCCGCCACGAGTGGCGCCTCCGCTGCTTGTAGTGTCGAGAGTTGCGACTCGAGCTCGACCACCTTGGTACGCAGGTACTCGATCTCGTCGCGCTGGCGCTTGCGGCTCACATTGACCTTCTTGGGCGGAGGCGGCGGCAGGTCCTCCGAGCCAGCGTCGCTCGTCGTGCAGTGGTCGCTCGAGGCCGGCGACGACGTCGCGGCCGGCGTGAAGAAGGCGTCGACGTCCTCCATGAGGAGCGAGTCGGTCGGCAGCAGCGCATACTCGTCCAGCGGCAGCGTCGCAAAGTCGTCAAAGATGGCTTGCATGCTCTCTCTCGTCACCTTGTTCGCTTGTCGAAAATGAGACGTCTGCCAGTTGGGTGCTATCAGACAAACAAACACTATTTTAGCTGTAGAACCTGGCTTCGACGTCGTGTGGTGTCCATACTGCACATACCGAGAACCACTCGTGCGCTGTCTTTGCTGCATTGTCGATCGGTGCAATTCGGGTCGTCCATATGCTCGAAGCTGACCTGGAAGAAGTGCGATCATGAGGTATGATCGTACTCTCACAGCCTAGGCGTCGGCTACTTTCGCAGAAAAAGGCGCGCTCAGTATAACGTAATTAGTGTCATTTCCTCGCACGGAGCTTGCACCCAAAGCCAGATTGGCTTCCGGGACGCGCATGGACCTCGCTGCAACGTACTAAGTACTCAAGGCCCTTGCGTACCTTCAAGGGCCCATAAAACCCTTCATTTAGTTTGCACGAATTGAGGCCTGAGTTCCGAGTCCTACTCGCGGACCAGCGGACGTCATCGCAAACCCACGTGGGAGTTAACGCACCGTAATCTTTCCCACTCGATTGCGTCGTCGCAATCCACCGCGTATCCGGACGTTCACATCGCTGCTCTTGTCGTGTTGCCAGTGAGAGTGACCCGACGCGCGTCAGCAGTGATATGCTTCTCATTGTTGCCGTTGATGCGCTATCTCCCTCGCACCTCCGCCACAGCGCCCGCTTCTCGCCCTGGGGCAAAGGTCCAAACCTCTCAAAACACATCGTATCCTGTTTGAAACCGGATAGCTCGACTGTCGGCGAATCCACATAGCTCTTTCCAGTCAATATGGATAAAATACGATCGGCGCCAACCTCTAAGAACACATATGCACTGTTGCTGGATCTCAACGTGCACTTTTGATTTTGCACTTGCGATCCCACCCGATTATGGAGGCCCTCTACGTGCGCTACGTCATTCCGCTCAAGAACTACCTCATGTTCGACTGCCTTGGCGGTCCGCGCCCGCTCCAGCTGCGCTACGTCATCAACCTCCAGAAAGGCGGCACGTTTCCCGCCATGCTCTTCCTCATGTATTATTTCGACAATTGGTCGATGGCCGCCTACCTCTACACAGCTAGTACGCTGGACATGCTATTTCGCGACGGAGCTTGACAAACGAGCTGTGTAGATCATGGCTCGTACGGCCTTGTGTGGCTACTCAAGGACCTCATTTTGCCCGACAAGGCGTGGACACCGTACATCACGATCCCGTCGACAATCGTGACCGCGCTTGTCCTCGTTGGGTACTGGGGCGCCGGGTACATTGTGATTGCGCACCGCGTCGAGGTCTCACCGGGCCTCGCGTGCCTCTGCACGACCATGAACATCCTCGGGACTGTGCTCATGATTGGCGCCGACACGCAAAAGTTCTTTCAGCTCAAATACAAGCCCGGCTTGATCGAGTACGACGAAAGCATCTGCAATCCATGGGCGATTGTGATGCGAATCGACTAGGGACGGCTGGGTCACGTGGAGCCGCAACACCAACTACCTCGGCGAAATGATGCTCTACTTGTCCTTCGCGCTCTTGGCTCGCCACTTGTTTCCGTTTGCCGTCCTCGCTCTCATATGGAGCCTTCTCTTCCTCTCCAACATGACGACCAAAGAACTCTCGTTCCGCAACAAGGTAGGGCCTGACGAAGGGAACGAAGGCTCCTTGGTCGGTCGTAGGAAGGTGGCCCGGCGTACATGGCCCGCACGGGCTTTCTCATTCCCAATGTTGGTGGGTGGTTGTCGCGCTTCATGGCGCCAATGCCCAAGGCGCGCACGAGTTAAGGTCCCGGTCCAAAAATAATTTGCCATTTCATGCATTTGTACTTGCCCTAATGGGACATTTTTCTCAACAATTTCGTCCTCTTGAATATGGTGTCGACCGACGATCGTGCTCGGGTTGGACATATCATATGAGGCGCGAATGAACTGTTGCGAATCAAGCTCATCGCTAATTGGTGGCGATGCTCAACTCGGCCCTCTCTTGCATGGCGCTACAGGAAGGAGCGCGTATGAACCATGTAGTTTGAGTTTACGTTTATGCGTTACGTGGCGGACACCGCTTGCTTGCTACTGTAGGTGTGGACACGTTAGAGAAGCCAGAGCGATTGGTCAGCGCCAAAGTGGACTCCGATCCTGCCATCAGGATGCATCACAAGCTGCCCAAGAGCTGTGTCGCGACTCGTGTCGAGAGTGACGTCGGTCCGATGCTCAAGATGCAGGGAATCACAGAGGCTCAGTCGATTCTGTGTGCAAGAGCATGCAGCTGTCGCTGCCGCGAAAGCTGAGCACTGCATTACGCTGAAGATGTGGATAAGTCGTCAAGAGCTTGTAGATCGAGCCGCCCAAGAGGAGTCGGTGCTTCCAGTTGCCGTAGCTCGAGCGACTGAGCGCACCGCCGTCCAGCACAAGCTTCATGCGGAGCTAACTCGCGGATTGGGTCATGACGCGCGAGAGACTCCGCTAGGAGAAAGTCACAATGAAGACCGTGCGGTGCTCCAAGACCCGGCAGCGCAAACGCATCGGCACCAAGCGCAACGCAGGATATGCAAGGTGTACACGAGTGGTAGCGCGCCAAAAAGAATCGTGTAGAGCATCGCGGGAAGCGCAGCTTCGTTCCTTGCCCAAGAGGCTGTAAACAAAGGGTGCTAGAATTCGATATAGAATCAAGTCTGTAGCTGAAAGAGCGTGACGGGCCGACAGTCAGTGCAACACCGATCGCGATGCCAGTGGGGTTTGCTTGGGCCCACCAACTGCACGAGCACTCTTGACGCGGAGATCACATGCATCTGCAAATTCTCCGTGCTTAAAAGAGAGCTTTCCCAATGAGTGGCGTCGGGTTGATTTTGGGCGACGCTGGCACGGGCGCGCCGCTGTCAAAGAAACTAAACTCGTAGTCCGAGTCACGGTGCTCCATCTTGCTGCCCGCGAGCTTTGCGCGGTTCGGGAATAAGAGCGCGTCTTCCTTCTCCAACAGCGCGTGCACCAGGAGAAGGTACTCCTTGAGCGTATCTAGAAAGCGCTGCGTCTGGCGGTGCTTGGACGCGGCACAAAACTGCACATGGCATCATGAGACATGCCAAGTATCAACATATCAAGCCCAACCTGGATGCCGTCGTCCTTGATAATGTACCCGATGCCAAACCCCTCGGGCACGACCGGGCCAAAGCCAAAGAGACGCAGCGACGGGTTCCCGCAGTTGCTCGTCGAAATGACACTGCGTCCGAGCGTCCGCCACGCCTCGTCTTTGAAAAACGCCGCTTCCGGACGCTTGTCGAGCGTGGCGATTTGCTGCAGCGCGTACAGATGGCGCTCGACGCCCTTGCCGCCAGCGCTGCGCTTGACGACCTCCGAGTGCGACGCGGTCGCCTTCCGGAGCGCATTGAGCTGCTGGAGCTCGTTGCCTTTGCCGCCGCAGAAAAGCTCAATGAACGCAAACGTCTCGGGTGTCATGGACCGAATGGCCTCAGTGCGACTAGGATCTGTGAAATCCGATCCAAATAACAAGACTTCGAGGCATACCCATGGAGGAAGCGCTTGGTCATGGCCGGTTCGTACTGGTTGACGGCCGTGCCGTACTGCAAGTAGTAGGCAGCGAGGAATGCGACTTGCACAAACGCGTCCGGCGAGCACTTGTGCTTGACGATAAAGCGCTTGCCTATCGCGAATTTGATGAATGGAAATGTCGCATTTTGAGACATCGTGTACCGTAGTTGCGGAATTCGAGCACCTTGACTTCGTTTTGGCAAATCAGGTCACTCAAGCGCGCCTCAGCATACCTATCAGATTCAAATAATAAAAATGGAGGCGAGAAAAATGGATGGAACAGCACCGGACGCTGAGCTGGAGGCTGTGTGAGAGCTGCCACTCGAGCTTGTGCGGCGTCGTGTAGAGCGATTCGGACGGCGCGCGGTACGCGCTCTCGAGAAAGCACTGCGTCGTCCCACTGATGCTCTGCGCAAACCTAGCACCAATCTGTTCTATATTGTGTAGACTGCATAAATACATACCGAATGACCGTGTCGGTAAACACGTCAGAGACAAAGCGGAGGACCGTGTGGCCATCGACGACCGAGTGCTCAAAGTTGACGCCGGCGACGCCATTTTCGCACACAATGATCTGCAGCTTGTCGTACCACCGGTTCATGCACGACCCGACCTACGAAATGTATTGTATCAATGTGTCGAGCGCGTCGACCAATGACCACATACCTGACGGTTGTGCGACGACGTCTCGTACGTGCCGTGGAGCATGGTCGCCGCAAAGTCCGACGGCGTCGGCGGACTCGTGTGGTCGAGGCAGACGAGAAAGAGCGCGCGGTCAATCTAGGAACGTAGATACTTTGATACACGGATACTTTGATAGAAAAGACACACCATTTCGAGCGTCGCGGCGTTCTCGGTTTGGAGCTCCGTGCGCAGACGCGCCCACTCGACGCGGTGCTCGGTCGTAAAGACGCCGACGGCCGAGTCGGCAATGTGGTCGTCCGAGCATTTGCGAGCATCGGCGCGGATCGCGCGAAGGTTCTCGACAATTTCCTTCTCCGTGACAGCCGGCGTCCCGTCTTCCCAGACCACGTCAAACCAGTAAAACTGGTTCCTGTCCACAAAAACGCGTCAAAATCGTTGAACTTGTGGCATATACTGTACCGGCAGAGCACGACAATGTGCTTGGCGTCGGGCGCGACCTTGACGTGGTCCTTCTCGCGCGTCGGAAGCCGCGTTGCACCAAAGAGCATGCGAAACTGGTTCATACAGAGCGGCGTGTTGCGCACCACGTCTGGCGGCAGCGTCTCACGGCGCAGCGCATGGATAAACTACACAGGACGATGTTGTACGTTCTATACCTATGGCATTGTACCTTGAGGCTGCTCACGATAAGCGATGATGCGCGCGGGATCTGCTTGGCCCGCGTCGGCGTCGGGTCGTCCTCGAGCACGAAGAACGGGTTGACATTGAGCACGACCGACTCCTTGTAGTTGAAGTACGCCTCGTACCAAAAGTCTTCAATGAAGCTGTTCTTATCGGCTGCATACGCTTCCAGCTTGGCCTGGAGCGCCGGGCCGTCGGAAGCGAGGAAGGCCGCAGCTGTCGCGCGCGTCGCTGCGTGGGCCTCGGGCGACTGCAGCACGCTCACCGTGCGGAGGTAGTTGGCGACCGTCTCGTGGAGGTCCGGGATCGGCAGCTTGGGCAGCGACGCTTGACCCGCGAACGTCGTCGGCTTCATCGAGGACCCCATCGTTGCCGTCGTCGTCAATTTTTCGAAATGACAAACGCGCAGCGATCTTGCCTTTCTATTTTATTGACAAATTTTAATCTACATACAAACAACAAGATACATGTTATGAAATTGAATGGGAGGTGGCAGGACCGCTTCGGATTGGCTGTTTGTATCCGGATGATGCTGCCGAACAGCCCATCGTCATGGTCCCACCTTGAAGTACCGGCGGGATATCGGGGATGGGTCGTGAGCCTCCCACACTGGTGAATGCAAGAGCGATTTGGGCATTATTGAAGGCTAGCATCGTCCACAGAAGGACGAGTTCGTCGCTCTCTAGCATTCGTACGAAAGGGTTTGTAGTTGATGTAGCAAGGTATACACGGCGGTAGGCCCAAATGCTCCGGGGTGGCGGCTATCGGAGGACTTTGGACGTGGCGAGGTCGGGCAGCGCGAATGGGTGCAGCCACTATTAATAGAGCTACTAGTTTACTAGTATGTGTGGGTTGTTGCGCATCTCGTGATCAACGAGGAACGTTCGTGCATCTGGTCGGCACTTCGTAACCACGTGGATTGAAGAAGGATCGAGGCAGCAGGATCTTTGGCCTGATCTTTGGCGTTCACTTCAACGACGCGCAAATCTGATTTGTGTTCCACGCAGCTGCATTGCACCTTAGGACAGTGCTTGGCCCGTTCTGCTGTACAATTTGCACATACGAGCTAGTGCTACATGGCACGGGCATTGACTTGCAAATGCCATGGAAGGCCCATTCTAAGCGATGGGTTGGCGTAGTAGGCTTTTGGTTCACCCACTCGACCTGTGCACGTCTCTCCATCTTGGATCACTGCACCAAAATACTTTCCGTTGCTTTGGCCCGAAAGTCGTTTCGACTTCGACGCCAACATTATTCCATCCCAACTGGAGCGCAACTGGTATGCATGTCTATCCTGGCCCAAGCGCATCCATTCTTCCAACGCGCGTCGTGAGCTTCAACAAGGTCTCTGTCGTCTTCTCCGCCTTTTTCCTCCTTAACCTCGCCTCCATGTACATACACCGCCCTGTTCCGCGGGTCTATCTCATGTTGTCTCTGTCGCAAGGCCGCTCAAGGTGTATTTGACCGAGTCATTTCCGTGGGTGCCTCCTATTGAGTCTTCAAATAGCGTCGCTCCAAGCGCCAACGAGACCTTTGCTGCGTTTGAGGAGCGCGCGCTTGCCTTCTACACGCCTCGGTACGCATCGTATGCGCACTCGACCAGCTGCAACTATTTTTATGACGCAACGGAAGGCATCGATGTCCTCTATGGCCCGATCGAGCAAGCGACCGAAACGACATTCACCTACGAGACCCTACCCGGCGCCTTCTTATACTCGAATCGAGCGCGCCGAGGGATCCGCGACATGAGCCTCGGCCACCGCAATACCTCTAGCACTGCATTTGTCCAGCTTGGTACACGCTTTGGCTACCCGTCATTTTTGTGGCCATTTGGGTCGACTCCCACAACGACGTCTTCTTTGCGGTACAACTCTACCGCGGCTGGATGGCGTGGGCCTATGCCAAGTTTGTTTTTCGCATTGGTATGACGCTTCGTATTTTGTACCTTCTCTGGACGACCTACTATGTCCATTACCGATCCTTGGTGACTCAATTACGGCGGTATGGCACATGCGGCGAAAGCGAGCGATTGGAGATCATTGTCGGCGACCCGACAAGTCTCATTCTTCAAAACACGTGGATCTGTGTCCTTTTTGTGGTCGATTTCTGGTGCAGTCCGCAGCTGGCTGCCCAGAGCTTTGTCCGGATCAACCAGACAGCCAACCTCTGGGCATTTAGCCTAGCAGCCTTGTATCTCTCGCGTACTGTCTGGTTTGGGTACCTCGTGCTGAACCTGAGTGGTCGCGTCTTGAGACGATGTGCGCTCGAATCGTGGTGCGCCCAAGCCGACCCCACCGGCGTTGCAATCGGCGTGGCGCTGGCTGTGGGGCCACTGACGTACTACCAGCTTCGTGTGACGTTCTTTATCAATCTCTACCATGCCCTCTACACCGGTCTTTTGCCCCAAGACAAGCTGTCAGACTACACGGAAGACGTCCCGCCCGCCATCCTCTACACGATTGTCCTCGGTTTGCTTCCATTGATCTACACCTTTACGTTGCCAGCGCTCAATCGCATACTATACCAACTCCTCCGTCGGGTGTGGATCCAGCGTATCCGCTCATTGGCCGAATCGTCCCGGCGGCGTCTCTCGCGCGTCATCTCACGCTCCTCGTTGATGCTCCGCGTGATTGATGGTGGCGCGTACGCTCAGCTGAGCTACAACGACTGGAAGCACCGACTACTGCTCGGTCTCATCTTTGGTTGCTGCTGTTGTCGAAGAAAACACCGGGTACCAAAAGTCTTCAGGGGTGGATCGGTCTACAAGCTCTTTACGACCCACCGCCATCTGCAGCGCAACGCGGCGTTTAGCTTTCGCGGGAGCGACTGCTACGTGCTCTCGCACACGCCCAACACTGTCATCTCGTATCGCCTCAGCTTGTCCGACACAATGTATCTCGACCATCGAACCGACATTGTCCGCAGCACTTGGAATGCGTCAGCGTTCGGACGACTTGTCATGAATGCGAAAGGCACGATTGACATCCAAGGTGGCGTCGACCGCTCGCACTGGATCATGTAATTCTCTACCATCGACTCGTTTCCTCATATTTGAGGATTGTAAAAAAAATCAATCGTCCAAAACCTACTAGCGATTTGAGAAAACGGCAATGTTTGTAGTCAAAGGACACTGCCGTTTTTGTCATACGTGTCGTGTTCGAGGTGCTTAATCGAGTCGCGATTATATCAATACGTGTTTCGCGCTATCTTCGTTTTACAAAGACTTCGCATACGTAGAGACTAGCAATCGCCTTCTCCTTCACTCGCTCGCCGGGCCGTGGCTGCACAGGCGGCGGCGCGCTTGTCTTGGTCTTCTGTAGTCGCCCGGGGGCGTTTGTGGCTGCAAGTGAGGCCCATGACGACACAATTCGTAACGGCCTTTCAGGTGATTACGTGTTTTTCTTGCTTGTTTGGTTGCTTCATTTCTGAATTTTTTGCTTGCTTGCTCGATATTGCCATGTTCTCTTGGCGCAAATGCGCGACGCCATCGCTCAACTACACGCGCCGTGTCGAGGCTTCATCGTGCGCGGGGCGCCTCAGAGAAGCCACCGTGACTGTTGGGCCCCAAAGTGCACACCTATTGTACTGCTCTCGCTTGCAGCAAGGCGACCAAAAGCGGCACCAGGACACGCGCCAAGGACGATGTCCGTTTGGTGCTTGAGATGCAGCGCGTCGCTCAAGCTAAGGCAATACGATAAAATCATCTTGGGTGTGTGCGAAAGTACGTAGCAATCACTACCGCGAAAGCTAAACGCTGTGTTGCGCTGGAGATGCCGATGGGTCGTAAAGAGCTTGTAGATCGATCCACCCTTGAATACCTTGGGTAGCCGGCGCTTCTTGCGCCCGCCGCCACAGCAACCAAAGATAAGAGCGGCAGTCGATGCTTCTAGTCAACGTTAGTTGAGGGGCCAAACGTGTCGCCATCAATGGTGCAAAGCACTGACGAGGAGCGTAAGATGACACGCGGTGGACACCAGTGGGACGAGTTGGCCATCGACAAGAACCCGCACGCGATGCCGTATCCGGCGCAGGACACGTTGAAGTGCCGGAACGCTAAACTGTTGGCCAAGGGGAGCGCGCCGAGGACAATCGCGAGCAATATTGCTGGTAGGGCGTCTTCCGTCGCATTGAACGACTCACTCTTTGGCACGACAAAGGTAAAAAGGGCATGATACATCTCCACGAAGAACGCCAGACGAAGCTGATAGTACGCCAGCGGCCGACGGCTAGGGCCACGCCAATGGCAACGCCGATCGGGTCGGCTTGGCTGCACCAAGACTCGACCCCACACCGACCTAAGACAACCCCACTCAGATTGAGCACAAGTTTCCCAAATCACATGCCCAAACCAGACGGTTCGCGAGAGGTACAAAGTCGCGGGTCCAAATACCACATGTCGGCGGTCTGGTCAAGCCGGACGGAGCACTGACCCACAATCTCCAGGCTGCACCAGAAATCAATCACAAAAATACGCAGATCCACGTGTTTTGGAGAATGAGGCACGTCGGATCACCGACGATAATCTCCAACCGCTCGCTTTCGCCGCTGGTACCATACCGGCGCAGCTGAGTCACCAAATATCGAATGGATAAAGTAGGTTTGGTTGTCCAGAGAAGGTTCAAATTACGGCGAGATGGCAATGAAACTGGGATTCGAGCGGTACTCGTCCGGATTTTTTCAATTGTCAATTGTCCTTGTGGCTTGTGCCAACGCCATAACATTATAGTCTCGCTTGTACTAAGGTCTGTTCGTGTTGCCATGTCCAACGTGGATCAATTACCCTGAGCATGATATGACAGGTTGTGAGCATAAGGGTCGATTCACAGTAAAATTTCAAGATGCGGTTCCCAAATGGTGGAGAAACGATACACAGTAATTTACATCGGCACCTGGCAAAAAGCAGAGTCTTGGCATCGCTGCCAGCATTGTGAACAGGTGGTATTCTGAGGCCTGTGATTGGTTGGTTTAAAGGTCCCCCCATGCCACCGTCGCTGGAGCCAACAGGGCTGCCTCCATTTCATTGGCAGAAAATCTGGCTCTCGTTCTTCTGATTGGTGCAAAACACAAAATACAAAAGAACAAGTGGATACTTGGCGCCTTTTTGTCAAAGGCGTGGCGGGCCTCTCTCTGCCGAGTCCGAGAGAGGCGACCTACGTAGTTATGTCTTCTCGTTTCGGAGCTACGTAGTCTTCCTCGGTAGTCTATCGATCCCGCAGCACTGGAAACCCT